CTCTTAGAARATCAGCAGGAAAGAAGGAGAATACCGAGTACAGGAGAAGATGCGGAGGAGGGGAGCAATCACACCCAACTAATGGGCATGGGAAAGGTGTGGAGCGGCAGAAGCACCGTGACAGTCCTCCAGGTGACAGCAGGCTGCCTCGTGACCCCACAGTCCCGTTCCCAGGTGTACGACCAAAAGAACCACCCAAGTGTCCGCATGAAAGTTTGCACATGAATATTTACAGCAGCTTCACTCATCCTCACCCGAGTGGGATGTAGCCACGGGAAGCAAGGTTTGGCCACTAAAGACAAGGACATAAAGATGTGACACTGTGACACGGACCAAACTTGGACACATTACACAAAGTAAAAGGAGCCAGACACGTGTTGCAGTACCCCGAGTGTGTGACATCTACAGAAAAGGAAAACTCATGAAGACGGAAAGCAGATTTCTGGTTGCCAGGGGCTGGGAATAAAGAGAATGCGGAGTGATCACTGGGTCACAGGGTTTCTCTTTGGAGTGATGAAATGTTTTGGAATTAAGTAGTGGTGGTGGTTGCATAGCCGTGTAAATATGATATAGATCATTAAATTGGACACATTAAAAAGGGTGGATTTTATGGTGCATGAGGTGTTTCTTGAAGAAGGAGAAGAAGGAAGAGGAGGAGAAGGAGATGGTGCAGGAGAGAGGGATGGGGCAAAGTCTGGAATGAGATCTATCAAAACGGCTTCCATGAGGGAGAGCAGGTGACCTCTTCTCACTTCTGCCTCTCTGATTCCCAACTTTCTGATTATGGCCCTATATTTTTTGATGATGATAAAACCCCATACTAGTTGAGAGCCTGCCCCGAGGTGGACTGAGCCCACCGATTTCTTGGGACTCGTTATGAAATCATTTCAGTCTTGGCAGCACTGGACTGAAGAGCAAGCTCTGTTTGCAAATCTTCCCAGTCCCAGTTCCTCAGTTGAGCAGAAGTTGAACTTCAGGGGGGCTGGCCATTCCTGGGCCACCACCTGCTGCCTCCTCTGGCCTCGCCCTTTACCCACCATAGCCATGAGCACCAGCCCCCTCCCTCGGCTCCCAGCCTTCATGGCTTTTCCAGCTGAGCCGACTTCATGCAGGTAGGGAAATCCCTCTTTCCTCTCCCCAGGATACACGCAGGTTACTTGAGACATACACACCCAGATAAATCATCATGCTCTGTGCATCAAGTACTGAGAATTTAACGAGTGCTAATTTTAAAATTCTTAAGATSGCAACTAACAATCTCATTTCCACTTTGCATTTCTGGAAACTGAAACACACAAAGGTTGAGTAACTCACCTAGCATCACCACGGAGCTGGGACTGGAAGGCAGTGTRGCAAGCCCATCACTGTCACCCCACCAGGGCGCTATGGCGGCTCTCAGAGGTCTTGTCTAATAGATCTCGCGGTTTCCAGAAAAGCACCTAAACAGCTCTAGATTACCAAGTAATATGTTCATAAATCTGCTCATTTCACTTCTGCAAACTAATGGCATTCATGCCTAAACCTACGYATCTTGTCAGTTTATGCCAGATAAATTTAATAATATTTACACAGCCCAATACCCAGTTCCTAGTAACGAGACTTGTCTGCGGGCTTTCCAGGCCTGCTCAACAGACCTGGGCGACGTTCACTGGGGAAAGCAGGTGGTGTTCTGGTGTCCCTTTTGAGAGGCGGAGGGAAAATGAACTTGTAGCCAAAGCAAATAGCAACTGTCTCCAGAAGAGCACTCTGTCTCCTCGGGGTGCAGGATGTGCCCCTCAGCAGTGGCTCTCTGCTCCTAGGGGGACTGGGAGGATGCCCAGGTCCTCTCATCCCTGTACAGGTCCTTTCCTTTAGAGATGGTCTCACAGAGATGCGTGGGTAGAAACAGCCCTGGTGTACCATCTCCTATAGTATGGTCATAATAATGTGAGCCTGAAAAAATAGTAAAGATGGAATAATTGAAGTCCACAGTCCAGAGCCCAGGGCCCTGCTCAGCCACTGCCGCAGGTGACCACCACTCAGCCTGCCTTCTATCACCCATGGGTGCTTGCGCATGTAGATCTTTCTCAGAAATGGGATATATTGCTGGGCATGGTGGTGCACACCTGTAACCCCAGCAGCTCAGGAGGCTGAGGCAGGAGGATTGCGAGTTCAAAGCCAGCCTCAGCAAAAGTGAGGAGCTAAGCAACTCAGCGAGACCCTGTCTCTAAATAAAATGCAAAACAGGGCTGGGGATGTGGCTCAGTGGTCAAGTGCCCCAAAGTTTAATCCCTGGTGCCCCTACACACACAAAAAAAAAAAAAGAAATGAGATGTACTATATATATTATTCATAACCCGATTTTTGTTTGAGGTATCAAAAATATGTCTTATTGTTTTAGTTTCTTCAATTGTATCACTTTAGTATCTATCAGAACTCTCGTGATTAATTTGTATGCGATTTTTCTCTTCTGTAAATAGATCTGCTGTGGAGGAACAGTCCTGGAGCTGCATCGGGGCCGTGCACTGATGATCTCCTTGAGATGCGCTCTGGGATGTGGGCTGCTGAGCCAGAAGGAAGGCGCAGGCCTAGGTGTGCTAGGAACCCCTGGAGGGTTTGGAGTTGGAGAGCCATGTGAATGGATTTGGACCTTTCAAAGATTAGACAGGGTGATGACAAACAGAGGGAGACAGTGGACCTAGATTCAGGAAGGCAGACATTCAGGCCAAAGGTTAGCACTAAGAGGAGGGTGAAGATAGTGACGAGGAGAGGCTGGTGGACCTGGGCGTCTCCAGACAGCCAGCATCACTTGATCAGTGAGTGAATCTGGGGTGTAAGGAGAGAAGACTCAGATGACTCCCAGGCTTCGTGTAAGTGGTAGGTGTTGTGCATTTAGAGATGGGGAAGGCTGGATGGGCAGTGTTGAGGACAGGTCGAGTTGTGCATGAGGTGTTCAGTTTGGGTTGTACACTCACAAGCCTGTTAGAAATGCAAGATACGTTAAATAAGTAGTTGGATGGCAGAGGGCAGAATCGAGCTCAGGGATGAGGTGAAAGCCAGAGGTGAACTTTTTGTTGTTGTTGTTGTTTGTTTGTTTTGTTTTTTGTTTTTGGTGGTGGGGATTGAACCTGGGGCACTTTACCACTGAACCACGTCTCCAGCCCTTTTAATTTTTATTTTGAGACAGGGTCTTGGTATGTTGCTGATGGTCTCACTAAATTTCTGAGGCTGGCTTCCAACTTGTGATCCTCCTACCTCAGCCTCCCAAGTGGCTAGGGTTCCAGACATGTGTCACTGCACCCAGCTCAGGGCAAACTTCCAGGTCAGCATCTGAGTAAAGACGGTGTTTGGGGCTGTGAATGTAGATGTGATCACTTACATTTGTAAGAAGTTGGATAAAGAGAACTGAGGGCAACCCAATGTTCCAAGTCCAGCAGAGCCTGAGAAGGGGCTGAGTGTGGTGCGAATGGCAGACAGGACTGCAGGAGGCAGAGTGAGCTCTGAGCTCTGTTCCCTGGGACAGAGCAAGTTAGGTGGCACCTTGGAGTGGAACTGACTGCAGACACTGTTGTGGTGGCCAGTCAGCTGGCTTTCGAGTAGGGCAGTTACCCTGGATTCTCTGGCTGAGCCCCCAAGTAATCATTAGGGGCCACCCTAAGTGGGAGGACCAGCAGAAGAACAGGGGGATGTCATGGCAGAGCCTGGAGCCGCAATGTGGCTGGCTTTGAAAACGGAGCAGGGAGCTTGGACAGGCTGGAGACAGCCAGGAAATGCTGGTCGCCTAGAGTTTCCGGAAAGGAACGCAGCCTTGCTGACCCTGCAGTGAGACCCCTGCTGGACTCCGGAGATGCAGGATGAACACTAATGCCCTTGCGCAGTTCTAAGCCCCAGTGACAGCTTGTGGTAGTTGCAAATAGGAAACGAATACAGAGACTTTGTTCCCCCAAATGCCAAGAGGAGGCACACCAAGGGGAAAGTGAGCCCCTGTGCCGCATGGACCCGCAAATGACCCCGGGGTGGCCGCAGGAGCGCAATGGCCACCTGACAGCAGCCGTGTTAGTGGAGTAGGAGGGACAGAAGCTCAAGCAAACWGGGGGCGAAAGAGCAGACAGCGAGTGTGGACACCTGTCACAGGGTCCGGCTGTCGAAAGGGTCGMAGAAGCGGGAGTGGATGCAGGGCTAGTGACCTAGCAATCGAGGCTCAGCCAATCGCAGTAGGCGAGCCTCTAGCCAATCAGAGGCCGAAAACCTCAAAAGATGCATTCTGCAGCCAACCTCATTGATCCTGCAGGTGGTTCCCTTTTTTCTTCTGGCAATAAATACCACCTGCACAAGTGGTGGGATACTGTCCAGAACTGTAATAAWGCAATTGTGATCTGCAAAATAAATCTGTCCTGACTTCGTCCTTCGAAGAAGAGAGGCGATTCTTCCCCGTGACTGAGCTTCCTATTCAGTCCTTCCCAGGCAGGAGGGAGGAGGGTGGAGGGGACCCGGCGCTGAGATCTCGGGGACTCAGTTCCTGTCTGTGCCATGAGGAACCAGCTAGTTTCGTGCCCTTTACTTCCCCTCAAGTTGTGAACTTGGATCAAATTGTTGAGAAGACCTACACACAACACWGTTTATCTTTTGTCTCTTCACAGGTAAGATTTCAAACCTACTATCACAGGACACTGCATYTCTGTTGAGAGACCTCCCAGGACATCCTTGGGCTTAGCCAACCACAGCAGGTGATTATTGTCTCACTCACATCGACTCTATCTTATCCGTCTTTGTAGCTTTCTATATCTAGCACAATACTTATGTGTAAAAATCTCAACAACTATTTACCAAACCAATGAATGAATGAAGGGCTAATTTGGAGAAATAGCCAACCTATTTTCAATGTTGGTTATTTAAAAAGAACTCTAACAGTTTAAAACCAGAATTACCCAAAGCTTCCGATGAGCTTAGAGATAGGTCAACATGAAGGACCCCAGYAGGGACAGTAGCAGAGGACATGAGGGGACATGGATGCTATTTACCCAGCTCATCTTGACAGAAGCTCCMTGGAGGGTTARTATACTTCATGGTGCTCACATCTAACTTCCAGTTGTGCTTTGTGCATTTAACAGACCTGGGTGGAAAAACAAAATCATACTTAGGCTAATGAAAAAGTAAAAATAAAAATTRATTTTGATTAGCTTTAGATGCACTCTTTGACCATGAAATTAAATTAGTTGGGTGAATACAAAATTCAYGAAAGAAAAACTATTCATGGCTGATCCTGAAATATCCAAGGAAATATACTCTAATCATCAAAAGGTGATTAAAAGAATGAAGATAAACTGCATGTCAAAAACTGACATGCGTTAAGATATCAATAAGACAACAGAATTAAGTAGTCTCCAAAACAAAGGAGCCTSTTCTGTTCAGGAGAGTTAAGAGAATAACATTGCCTGGGAACAAAGCAGTGTGAAACCAGGACCAGCCACCTCAGTATTCAACAGCCCCATCTGCAAGAACACTAGAATGTGTTGTTTATCTGTAATTTGAAYTTATTGTCTCTTTAGTTGCTTTTTCAATCCCACTTCATTATGAGACTCAAACTGTTACCCAGCAGGGCTACCACCCCATGTACATTATATTTTCCCCAGCAAAAGAAGCTTAGCAGAGCTAAAGGGRTGTGGTTGAAGGTGGTTATAGACAGTTTCATTTCTTCTCTTTATTTTAGTAGTGTTTCCAATGAAGCCTTAACTTGTTTGTTTGTTTTCTATAAGAATTGAAGAACTTTTTTAACCAAAAAATATACCTTAAAMCAGAAATGTCAGATTTTTTTAAAAAATTGAAAAACATGTATTTTAACATATAAGCAAGTCATATGACCTTTCAATCTTCATTCTATCCAGAAACTTTAACRTTCTTTTTGCTAAGGAAAAAGCATATTCCACACTTCAGATTATGACTGGTTACTTCGCCACCTCTTTTCACAGTGATGAGCAGCCAATGACCTTTCTAAATTAAGACAGAACAATCCACCTGCAGCTACCTGCATGCTGGGCCCTGGGAGGGAGGCCGGCAGAACCAGGGGCCCCTGGAGAGGACAGCRGCTGCGCACACAGGACAGGGTGCCGAGACTCTTAGACTTAAACAAGGAGAAGCACAGCTTATCAGATTTGCTGAGCGTGGTCATGCGTCAAGAAGAAGACTGACAGTGGACGAAAGGACCGAACAAGAAGGCTGGTTACTGTTGCAGACTGCACCCTGGAAAGGCCGTGTCTTCAGGTGGACAGCTGCAAAGAGAACCCCGGGAGAAGGGACAGGGTCTGCAGGTGTGGCTGGGAGGCTGGGGCAGGCCAGCTTCCTGAAGGACCAGCTGCGGCACACACCTGCTTCCTCCTGGGCAGGAGAACCGAGGACGGGGGAACCCACTCACCCAAGACTTTGGACGAAGGAGAAAGGCTCGAGTGGAAAAGCAGCCCTGTGTCTAGATGAGCAGGCTGCCTGCAGAGGAAAGCTGTGTTCTATAAATAGCCTGCCCCAGCTGCACAGGGGTCAGGGGTCAGGGCAATGACACAGTGATGAACGTTTATGCTTCTTTATGTTTGTATCATGTMCAGAGATCTAACAAAGTTGGGACCACTTTCATCTTCGTCTTAGGAGTGAGTRGACCGAGGCCCAGAAAGGCTGTGAAACACGTTCAAGGTCATTGCCAAACTGTGGGTGGGGAGTCGGGTGCAGGCAGTTGGGGAGGAGAGATCGGAGGAGAGATCACCTCTTAACCACCAAGTTTTGACAACTCCTTAAATGGTTAGCTAACTGGCACTGTGTGAAACGGCTCACTAAGGGGAGAAGAAAGGAAATCCAGTTTCAAAACTCCCCAGGGCAGAAGAGAAGACCTCAGCAATCCTGAGTGCTGCACGTGTTGCCCAGAGACAGCTGTGTTTAAGGCCCCCCTGACCCGAATACACAGGGAAGAGAGCCAGAGATCAGTCCAGCTGTCAGCAAATTGCCTGAGGGCCTTCCGGGGTAGACCTGCCAGCAAATATGTCCTGCACGTTACTTTGGACATATTTATACTAGATATTCATTGTTTTTATGAAATGCAGATTTAACAGGTTGTCTTGGGCTTTCACCTGCCAATCTGTCAGCTCCAAGGAGCCCCAGAAGCTAGTGAGCCCTGGGGTTTGCCTCTGAAGATCTAATAATACAGGGGGATGCCCTGGCCAAAGCATTTGTTCTTCCAAGAAACTATCAGGGAAGGGATGGCTGGGGCTCTGCCATTTTTAATCTGTCATCATAACTAGGCTGCCAGGAAGGAAGGTGGCATCTGCCTCCTATGGGGTTTGCAAAAGTGCCCCCAACCGTCCCCACATAGCACACTTCCAGGGAGGGGAACGAGAACGGGGAGGAGGCTGGAGTCTTTGAAGACAACACCAGGTAAACGTGTACCCTCCCATTACCCCAACTGCTCCCAAAGAAACTCATACAACCTAGGAGTTTTACTGCTTCTCAAGCTAGGAAGAATCTTAAATTAGAGTGCTTAGAAAGAGAAAGAAAAATGAACCGAAGCATACTTTTGAGTTCAGAGAGATGTCTGAAGTAGGAGCGAGGATAAAAATGTACCAGGGGAAGCAATCTGCCGATTGGTGCATTTAGAATTTGTAGGTGACATTTCCTGACAAATCGAATTGCAAGCAGGCTGCCCGTGAGAAAGGAAAGGACTCTCGGTACCTGCCGTCCAGGTCCTCGATATCTTTGATGAACAGGCCTCCTTGGTGCTTGCACAGGTTCTTACATGCCTTCAGGTGGTTCTGATCCTTGTATAAGATGTAGTCTTTGCCAGTGCTCTTATTTCGAAAAAAATTGATTCCTTCCTTGAGGTTGGCAACTTCAGCAGGTGCCAGATGGAGCAGGACCTCAGTAGTCTGTTTCATGCTATGAAAAGGCAAACATTTTGAAGGGAATGATTAATTGTGTCAGGTTTTAAGGCATGATCATTTGGAACTGAGAGCTCAAGAGCAATCTTCATTAAAAATATTCTGTACGTCCTGGCTCCAAGTACCAGGCATGGTGGCCACCCAGTGCACTTTCTCCCCCCTTTAAATGGATGTGAATCTGCATCCTAGTTCTTGAAGCTTCTGATGCTCTTTGCTAGAGAGCTAGCCTCCTCGCACTTGCCTGTTCATAGTCGGCCGGCTCCTGGGAATTTTGAAAGGACTGCAGCGGCTCAGTTGCTCCCACAAAGCGTCGCTCAGCCTGGGCAGAATGTTTACCCCAGTTCACTACTTCCGTCAATGCTGCTTCCTCCCGTCACATCTCTTTTAAAAGCCTGGCCCTATCTTTAGGTCCAAGAAGCTCTGAGCTTCCCGAGCTCCCTGCCTGCTTTTGCCCCTGACTTTCTCCTGCCTGCAACACACTCCTCTCCCTGACCTTCCCCTTCAGCCTCCAGGCTCCAGAACTCAGTGGCYCCCCTGGCCCTCCCGGCCAAGCTTTCCCAGACACCTGGTGGGTGGAGTCCTGCCCTGCACAGGGCCCCTGCTCACCTGCACATGGCACTTGGAGAAGCCCCAGTGTCTTCTCTCCCACCACCTCGCAGACCGTCTTTCCGGTGATGTCTCCATCTCGAAGCTAGTTAACAAACCAACCCTCCCACCGAACCCAATTTGAATAATTTTCAAAAAGCGCCATTGGCCAGTGAAGTATTGGATCTTCTGTATTTGTTCCAAGGAAACTCCAGATTTTATATTTCTCAAACCCCTACTTAATTAATGCAACCCTGAGTCAAAATGGAATTTAAAGTTTGCTCACAAGTTTTCATGCCCCTGGCATAAAAATCCGGGCACATGTTTTATTTAACCTTTTACTTCAAACTAAATGTGGCTAAAATTATCTTCTCAGGCTAACTTGAAACTAATTTGGAACTCAAGTATATTTGTGGCGCTTTTACTTTCATTTTTAGAAGAACTGCAACATTTTTAGATGGGGGATGGGAACAGTTGAAGCAGCATGCTGGGCCCTTCAGGAGCCACTTCCAGAACTAGGYTCCGCATAGATCTGCGGTTTCACATGCTTCCTCCAAGCTGAGTCTCACCGTCACTTCTGTCCAAAATCCCTAGTAATTCTGTTCACAATAAACTTGAAATTAACCCCCACCCACCCACCCCAAAAGTCATACACACTCACATTTAAATGAATTTGATAGGAAGAAATCTATTCTGAACCTCTGGAATCCTGTTTTTGACTGTTATGATGAGATCCACTCTCTAATGCCAAGCTAAACTAAGCACAGAGACCATTCTTTGAAAAATAGGAAGTGTGAAAGGAAAACCTGCTCAGATGTTGTTTTGCCTGATTGAATGGATCCTACAGCCAAATCTCTAGGCTAGGTCCCAAGTCCTGGCCACCCCTGAGGAGCAGGAGGTGCTGACTGTGTGTGCAGCTGCCCCGTCACAGAGCAGCCTCGGGCGAAAGAAAAAAATGTGTGCTCCTTTAGGCTGGCTTTTGTGTACAGTTTAAATAGTTTACCCAAAGTATTTAAGAGAGATCATTGACGGATTTACTTCCTTTAAAACGGGGAACATAAAATTGTTGTCAATTCTGGTCTTAGTGTAAATAAAATATTTAGATCAAAATAAGTTTTAAAGTATCTGCTTTTCAATGCTCTAATATTTTTCAAATGCTTCAGTGTTCTTAAAATACAACCTTTACAGAAATATGCAAAAACATTTGTATAGGGACGTACATTTTTCCTTTGGCCTCAGATTTGGTGGCTTGGCATGGCAGTGTAATATCCTAAGTTTTTGATATTTAGCTTGTCAATAGAGTTTTTGCTTCGATTTTTATTTTCAAAATGCTCTGTTGAAATGACATTCACTTTGATGATTCGTTTCTGAGGCCTCCCTCACCCTTTGGATACAGGCAAACATCCCTTGTCCGTGTCCTCACTCTGGCCTATTCTTGATGCGGAATTATGACCTAAACTAGGAGCTGCTTGTAGTTCACCTCCATAAGCAATTTATAGACCTCACCTGAATTATCTGCCTGACAATTCTCCATCCTGCTCTTTTCCCAGTGATTAGTAGAATCTAGAACAAGTATATAATAAATTAACTCTTAATATTTGCCTCAATAGGTGTCACAGGAATGTACTTAGGTTGGCAAAGAGAACCCATTGACATTCTATTTCAAGGGCCTTTGGCATGAAGAGTGATGCTTTGGAAACTGACGTAGAAAAGTCAAAATACAGACTTCAAAAAAAAAAATAGCAGAGTTGAGTTCTATGAAGTAAAAATTTCATCATGGTTTGATGCTCCCACAAACCAGGAGGGTCGCTTCAGAAGCCAGTGCAGGGCTTCTGRGCTGGGCGTGAGGGACAGACCGGGGTGGGAATGCCAGCCAGGCTGGGCCCACTCCAGACACCGAGCCCAGATAAAGCTACCTCTCAGCAACCCAGCACTCCTCCAGAGGGTGCCACTCAGAAACTCCACCCAGCACTGTCAGTTTAGACGTCCATTCTGCTACCTGTAATTTTTTTAACTCAGTTATTTTTGTCTTGTTTTGAGTGCAAAAATGTTCAGAAACGTACGCTCTAGGAGAGCCCAGGCCACAGCACCTATCTCATGGTGTGTGTGTGTGTGTGTGTGTGTGTGTGTGTGTGCGCGCGCGCGCGCACCTGTGCTTGGAAGAGATCTGACACTTGTTTTACCCTCACAAGAGTGACATGGACACTCCAAGGTCCAAAGGAATTTCCCTATTATTCCCTGGGATGTTGATATTTAACGATACTAGTTTCCACCTCAGGAAACCAGGGGGAGAAAAAGCAAATTGAATCCAAAGTAAACAGAAGGAAAGAAATGAAATTAAAACAGAAATCCATGGAATTTAAAAATAATAAACTAATAGGAAAAAAAACAACAACAGTCTGGGGATGTAGCTTGGTGGTAGAGTGCCTGCCTAGAATGGGGAGGCCCTGGGGTTGACTGCCAACACCACCAAAAATTAAATAAATAAATAAGTGGATGAATGAATAATAATCAGACTAACCACATTCTGGTTCTTTGAAAAGATAAAAAAAAATTGAAAAATAAAAGGGCTAGAATTAAACTGAGAAAAAGAARAAAAAAGATGGTTCTCAACTTATGATGTCCTGATAAACCCATTATAAGTAAAAATGCATGAATTTACCTAACCTACAAACATCAGAGTTCAGCGACACAGCACCCTGTGGGCTGTCAGTTGTCCACTTAGCGTTGCCATCAGCAGTGTACATGTATCACCTGAATTATCTGTCTGACGATACAGATCTGTGCTCTTTCTAGAGATAAGACTCAGAACACGTATGCAATAAATGACTCCTGGTGACCACATGGCTGAGGGGAGCTGTGGCTCGCTGTCCCTGCACCATGGCCAAGGAGCACTGCACGTTGCTTTCCAAGGAAAAGATCTAAAATGCAAAATTCGGTCTCTACTGAATGCAAACTGCTTTTGCGTCACCATCAAGCCAGAAAATCATAAATCAGACCATGCTAAGCCAAGGACCACCTGTGTTAATATGAGAAATGAAAGAGAGAACAATACTACAGACCCCACAGACATTAAAAGGATGATAAAGGAATGCTGTGAAAATCTCCACAGAGCTCACAAACTTGCTAACCTAGAAGAAACAGACCCTAGCCTTGAAAGACACAATTGGCCAAAACTTGCACAAGAAGAATTAGACAATGTTAATAGACCCATGTCTACAAATTATGTCAAATCAATAACTAATAGCCTTCTAAAGCAGAAGTACATTCTTCAGACCCAGATGAATGGACTGGTGAATTCTATGGAAAATTTAAAGGATGAAAACACCAGTTTTCTAAAATCTCTTCTAGAAGACAGAAACAGGGGGAGTATCTCCTAGTCCATCCCATGGGCCCATCATTACCCTACTACTGAAACCAGTCAAAGAACACAAGAGAACTATAGGCTGATATCATTCATTCATGAACACAGATGAAAAAAAAATGTGCACTAAATATTATCAAATCAAATACAGTGCTGTATAATAAAATTGCTATGCTGACCAAGTGGAATTTATTCCAGGTTATATGAGACTGGTTCAATGCTTGAAAATAAATTAGTTTAATTTGTCATATCAGCAGACTAAAAAAGAAAAGTCAGGGCTGGGATTGCAGCTCAGTGGTAGAGTGCTTGCCTCGCATGTGGAAGGCCCTGGGTTCGATTCTCAGCACCACATTAAAATAAAATAAAGGTATCTACAGCTAAAAAAAATAGTAAAAAATAAATAAATAAAAGTCATGTGATCATACCAAAAGTCACCCAAAAAAGCATGGGATAAAATTCCACATTCACTCATGATTAAAAAACAAAACAAAACTCTCCACCACGTAGGAATAAAGAAGTACTTCTTCAGCTTGGAAAGACCATGCACGAGAACACACGTTATGCCCAGYAGAGAGGAACTGGAAGCCTTCTCACCCCACCACCAGCAAGCTGAGGGCATCCGTCCCTCCTACCCCTGCTCTTCCGTGTTGTAGGGAAGTCCTCAGTAATGCAACAGACAGGAAGAGGAAGCAAAAGGTGCAGACTGGAGAGAAAGGAGCTGTCTATCACAGACGACATGACTGCCTATAAAATTAAATGCAACCATCAAAAAGTGTCCTGAAGTTAACAAGCTTCCATAGCAAGTTTTCAAGGTGCAAGGTTCCCAAAGTGTCCTGAAGTTAACAAGCTTCCATAGCAAGTTTTCAAGGTGCAAGGTTCCCGTACAAATGCCAATTGATTTTCTATACAATAGCAACAAACAAGAATGATTCAAACTAAAAAACACAGTATCATTGGTGTTAGCACCAAAAATGAAACACTTTTGTTTAAATTAGCAAAAATACATATAAGAGCCACATTTAAAAAATCTACATAACTCTGATGAAATA